GTAGTCTGTACACCAAATGATATAAAACTAATAGGATATAAATGGATATTTGTGCAAAAGCGAAATGAGGAAAATGAGATTGTGAGATATAGAGCACAGGTTGTCGCACAAGGCTATACTTAAAGACCTGGTATTGATAATGAAGAGACATATTCTCTTGCGGTGAATGCAATTATATTTCGATATTTAATTATTTTGACAATACATAAGAAGCTTGAAATGTGTCTAATGGATGTATTTACAGCCTATTTATATGGCTTACTTGATAACAATATCTTTATGAAAGTTCCTGAAGGTTCTAAGTTGCTTAAAGCACAAAATTTAAATTCTTAAGAAATTTATTTGATCAAATTAAGTAAATCTTTATATAGATTAAAGCAATTCAAACACATATAGTATAATCACTTTAGTGAATTTTTGTTGAAAAAAACTATAAAAATGATCCTCTATGCCAATGTGTTTTTATAAAAGATTTGGATAAGAATTTGTCATAATTATTTTTTATATTGATGATCTAAATATTATTGAAACTTTTGAAGAGGTATTGTTAGTTAAAATTCTACTACGTAAGTATACGTATGGAATAGATAATATATTAACAAATAAAGTATCAATCCCACAAAGAATTGATCTAAAAGTTTACTAAGTACTAAAATTATAGCAAATTAATTTTATCCAAACAATATCAAAATAATTTCAAATAAAACTAAGTTAACAAATTTAAATTAAGGAAAATCAAAATAATAAATAATCAAATAAATATCAAATCAAACAAGCCTAGGATTACAATATCCCTCACACTTCATCTAAATCTTACCTCTCTTCCTTAACTTATTTCACTAGATTGAATTGCTAACCTAGAGTTCTAAATTATTTACAAGGGTCTCCTGACTCATCTTATAAAAATATCTATTTTAACCAAAACACTATATCCCCATGTGAATTGAAATTAAAATAGACTCATTAAGTTTAGGTTCTAATCTGGCTACATATGGCCTATAGGTATATCCCTATCCTATAGGAAAATCAAGTAATATGATCATATGCTATCTCAATTTTATTCTACACTAAACACCCTTTCCCAAGTTTGTTTAAGTTCCTAGATCAATTTAATTGGTGGCCAAGCAATTAAAAGCATTAAGAACAAATTAGAATAAACAATTCAAATCCCATTGAAAATAAGCAAGAAAGAGATTAAAAATTTAGATTACATGTGAGATCAATTGTAATCCTAGAAAAATAATTTAACTCATAATATCTAATAAAGACAATATCCAAAGAAAATTAGCCAAAAATCCACGTTAAAGAAAATAAGAAAAACACAAAGGTAAGAGAGAAAACTAATAGTTAGAACTTTGTGATCTTGATTCTCCCTCCAATTCTTTTGTTTTCTTGCTTTTTTCTTGGCTTCAAATCTTCAGAATAGTTGCTTGCTGCCTCCTCCTGAAAATCTCTGAAAAAGGTCCTTTAAATAGGCTCCAAATAA